ACAAAGTTTTAACACACACACACACAGTTGTGCATATGGACGCCTTGATTAACAACCACCAGTGATAATAATCTGATGAGATTTTATGGAGCTGAGATTAATTTCTTGTTCTTTTCTTTCCTTTTTCTTTTTGTCTTCTTTTTTAAACTGAAACGTCCTTGTTTATTCCCCAAGTAACACTGGCACCTTTGGTAGGTGACAGCACAATGCATTAGTCACAGCTCCTGGTGACGCTAGGGTAAACGAATCCATGACAGTGGCACTGTATAACCCTGTATGCAGCACATGCAACTAGGCAGACTGTGCTCAGCACCTGACAAAGGAATGCGTTTACTGGCCCAAGTTTTCTATCATACGCGCAGTTTCCCCTTCTACTTAGGACAGGAATTTTACTGTGGAATGACCAGGGGCCTCATACATTTGGTTACTATGTCTCTTGGTCACATCCGAGAGTCATGCCGAGTGACAGACTTGTTTGCCATCTAGGTTTGGTCAAATACACCCTATGACACCCACAAGACAATGAAATCACCTAACAATGCATTTCTCAGAATATTTCCTCATGGTGTATGACACATGACTGTGTGTGCATACATAAAACCTTAGTACATTTGTAACAGTTTAACTGAGTCTATAATAAAGCATCACAATTTAAAAGCCACAAAATAAATGAAAGTACATTTGATATTTTATTTCATTTTTGCAGCACCTGGGATTGAACCCAAGGCTTCCTAGAGGCTAAGCAGGGGCTCTGCTGCTCAGCCACATTCTAGATTTTTCTGGTTTTTTTTTTTTTTTTTTTTTTTTTTTAATTTTGAGATGAGTCTTGATAAGTTGTCCAAGTTACCCTCCAATTTTCAATCCTCCTGCCTCAGTCTCCCAAAGTACTAAGACTGTGAGTTCCAACCTGCTGGACTTACATAAATGTGATTAAAGAAATCTTTTTTTCTTTTTAAATTGAGAAGCCGAGGCAGGGTCTTTTGTTTTGTTTTGGGACAGGGTCTTACTATGTAGCCTTAGCTCTGTAAACCAGGCTGGCCTTGAACTCACAGAGATCTGCCTGCCTCTGCCTCCTAAGTGCTGGGATCAAAGGCATGTGCCACACCTGCCCAAGTCTTACTAGGGTTCAAATGATCCTCCTGCCTCAGAATCCAGAATGTAGCAGATACAAGCATGTGATACTGTGGCTGTTTTTTTTTTAAATCTATAAGATAGGATTTGATCTCCAGCACTGAAAAAAAATTAAAGTTGAAAATTTATGTAACTAAAGGTAACAAATGGTGCCTGGAGAGATGGCTCAGCAGTGAAGAGCTGTGTCGTTCTTCCAAGGATCCAGGTTCGATTCCCAGCACCCACACTGAGCAACTCACACCTGCCTGCAATTCCAGTTTCGGGGCCTCTGATGCCCTCTTCTGGCCTCTGCTGGCATCTGCATGCACATGGTGCACATAAACACACAGGCACACACACATACACATACATTTTTAAATCTAGGGGGAAAAAGTAACAAATGCTAGTGAGATATGGGGAAAGCAGAATTTGCCTGCAGCATGTAAGATGTGAGATGTAAACAGTACAGTCAGTATGCAAATCAGTGTGTGTTCCCCCAAAAGCTATACATAGAACTACATATGCTGCAGCCATCTCACCATGGACATATATTCAAAGAAATTGAAGTCAGTATGTTAAGAAGACATCTGCACTACCACAGTCATTGTAGCTCTGTTCACAAGAGCCAACGTACAGAAGCAGCCTAGCTGTCCATCAATGGATGAACGAAGAAGACTAAACACAATGGAATACTATGCGGCCACAACAGAGTGAAATTCTACACAAGTGCAGGAATGCAACTGGAGGACACTATGTTAAGTGAAATAAACCAGGCATGGGACGACTAATAGTGTGTGTTCCCACTTCAAGGCGGAACCTGAAGAGTTGGCTTTGAAGGAATAGAACACCAAAGAGTGGTTGCCAGAGCTTGGGAAGGGTGTGTGTGAGGGGCGTCAGGGAAGGGAAGGTTAATGAGTCCAGAGGCTCAGTTAGATGGAGGAATAACTTTCTGCACTCTAGAGCACCAAAGAGCGTCTATGCTTGACATCGAGTAGTTATACATTTAAAAATAGCTAGTAGAGAGGGTTTTGAATGTTCCCATTACAGAGAAATAATGAATGTCTGTGATGATCAATATGACTACACTAATCACAGTTTTTAAACATGTATGGAAATTTCACTGTGTGTGCTACAAATGTGTATGACTGCTATGTCAATTAAAAAAAATAAAATTATAGGGGCTGGAGAGATGGCTCAGCTGTTAAGAGCATTGGCTGCTCTTCCAGAGGACCTGGGTTCAATTTCCAGCACCTACAAGGTGGCTCACAACTATCTGTAACTCCAGTTCCAGGGGATCTGATGCCCTCACACAGACAAATATGTACATAAAATAAAATAAATATTATTTTAAAGTTGGTGGTAGTGGCACATGCCTTCAATACCAGCACTAAGGAAGCAGAGGCAGGGGGTTCTCAGGTTTGAGGCCAGCCTGACCTGCATAGTAAGTTCCAGGACAACCAGGGCTACACAGAGAAACTGTGTTTTGGGGGAAATTATTTTTTTAAAAAACCCTGCATACATATTTCCATTAAAAAATTCAAGACTATTAATGGAGGGAAGGGCTGGTCAATGCAATCACAACTTAAACAAAAAATGAGAACTCTTAAGGAGAGTTAGATCAAGTGAGGAGTTGTTAAAAGGACTTGAAAACACAACGTTGTACTCACCGAATGAAAAGATACTCACCACCAGATTCAGATTTGCTCAAGTTCAAGAATCAATAGATTCTCTCCAGGGTCATAGCACAGCACAAAGGGGTAGGAGTAAGAGGGAAAAGATAAACCAGTGGACCCACTCAGGAGTGCTAACTCTCAAGTGAGAGGAAACAAGGGGGAAGAAATACACACACCAAGAGTGTCCTGTGCTGGCGGGGTCCAGTCTGCTGCCCACTACACCAAGAGTGTCCTGTGCTGGCGGGGTCCAGTCTGCTGCCCACTACACCAAGAGTGTCCTGTGCTGTGGGGTCCAGTCTGCTGCCCAATACACCAAGAGTGTCCTGTGCTGGCGGGGTCCAGTCTGCTCCCCAATACACTAAGAGTGTCCTGTGCTGGCGGGGTCCAGTCTGCTCCCCAATACACTAAGAGTGTCCTGTGCTG